TTTAAATATACTTTCCAACAAACTCTATAACAATTATAATTAACCCAACCTAAAAGCCTAAAAGCGTATTATTATATGGTAGTGCATGCAACCAAACCTGAAAGCATTATTCTTGAAGGATTTAAGAATTTATATCTTTCTTTTATTTTATTTTTTCTGTTTTGTGAGTGTTCTTATATAAGATATTTTCTGAGACAAACAATGTGCAAGAGTCTCAAAGGTCAAAATCCATCTGTCCTAATAACTGAACCAAAATATCTACTTATTTGTTTGCCTTGTGAGAGTCTGTGACCTGTCCTTGCAAGTGTGTTATAATATGCATTGTTCTTCTATCTTCTTCTTTTTTTTTTTTTAATATTATTATTTAGAGAAGGGGATGATTTGAAATTTAGGAGAGTAAAAGTTTCAAACTCAAAACGCATAAGTATAAACTCAACATCTTATCCACTAAGATATTAGACTGAGCGCAGATGCATTGTTTTTCTATCTTTAGATCATAAATAAGATATTAAAAATGTATTCACCAAGGAGACATATGTAGCTGTTGATTAATTAGTTGATCTCAATATATATTATATATATATACTCATCTTAATTATATATGATTGAAGTCGTTCAACTACATGGTCTTCGTTTGTGATACACATGCAACCAGACCTACCTTCAACTACCCCATCAAATGTCCCTATTTCTTTAAGGTTAACTGGGCAATTTGGTTTCTGCAGATCGCACAGTTTTGTGTCATGAGATCTTTTGCGGTGAGTATGAGTTATTCTGAGCGTTTTAACGGTTAGATTTTTATTTACGTTATATATCCGAATGAAGCTTTCAGTTTTACGAATTAGGATTTAGGGTTAAGTTCTTATGATAATTAGGTTTCAAGGCCATCAAAAGTAAGCCTTAGGTTCGGAAAGTGATCTAGGGCTTCTGGTGCTCTTTTGCAATGCGACATAATTAATAAAAACAAATTAATATGATAACAAATTCTTTGTATAAATTAAAAAAATGATATCAACTAATTTATTATGTTTTCTTTTCATCAAAAGAAGGTTTCTTATATTTTCTGGTGCGTGAGTGCTATCGATGAGTAGCTAGAGAGATCGTTGATTGGATCATGGGAAGCAGCAATCATAACTCAAGGGTGGGTTCAAGTAGTGGTGGCAACTGGCATGCACACACATCACATGCCAATTTCTTAATTAAAGTACCTAAAAGTTGGATTATCATTATCTTATTAACTAACTAATTAGAAGGTTCATTATATACCTAATACATGTACCCTATTCATGGACTGGTTCAAGTTGCAGCATCACAACTAGGTAATTAAACTAGTGAATTTGTTATAAATTATAATAACAACCATTATAGAGTGACCTGGTGAACAGAGACGAGTTCTAAGTCCGTATTTTACATATCATGTCCTGAATTCGATTGGAGCGTGTGAATCACAAGATAGTGACCTGAAGAATGGCTGAAATACTTGTATGAGTATTTCAAATAGCACATGATGGTCCCCCTTTATAAACACCAAAGATATAAATTATAATTTTTTTTTGTGTGTCATATGAGCGTACGAAACTTCATGCATATTGTTTGGTGGAAACCAAAAAAGAAGTTGACACATTGCGTATTTTGCATGTAGATTACCAAAGCAGCAGACCCCACTCCCCAGCAACATGTAATTGTTAAACTCAGCTAAACAGACTTGACGAGGTCAGCTAATTTAGATATCTTTGTAATTGGGAAGCTTAAGGTGAAGGATTAGCATTGTTAGACAATTATCATGCTCCAAAAGCTTAAGCAGAAATACATGCAAGGCACAGCGTACTAAATCTCATAGAATATAAACTCTAATAGTATATTAGACAACCACTAAGTACTAAAATCTGGATTAGGATTCTCTCAGGATCCATTATATCCGGATCCTCCGAATTACCCACTCTTCTCATTCTCCTGTCTTCTGCAATCACCAATCACTGCTGTAAACAACCCGATACGCGCCGCTGTAAATTTACTGCTGCAAACTCGAACCCTCATGGATCAGAAGAAGCACAGCACAACGAACCCTTATGGAATCCAAGTTTTAACACCATATCATATTACTATTAAGTCCCAAAAGCTTAAGTAAAGACAAATACACGACACAACGAAACCTCATAAAACCAAAACTAGACTCAAAACTTTAAACCACCAAAAAAAAAAAGCCGACAATGCATATTAAACTAACAAAAATTCCTCTTAACATCAATTGTATGCATAATTGCTTTGAATTTACTTTGTCAAAATTGAGATGTGGTTTGGGTAGATCACAACTTTTACATTTATGCATTGCTCCTCACTTTCTCAGACATGCCCTTAAATAAGTTTTTAGCTAACTACTTTTTACATATATCATCAATTGCTGTCCCCAAAAACATCATATGAAAGTGTCAAATTGTGAAATCCCACCATTCATTTATTTTCAGCATCTTAAAAAAGGACTCCTTCAAGAAATGAAATGTGGTCAATGTCACTCAATATTTAGAAATTTATGAGATTAGATTTACATTTAGGGATTTAGATACTCCTACCAAACTTAGGTAAAAACAGATAATATAATTAAGATGTTTATTTCTTCATTAAAGTGGGCAGATGCAGCAAACCAACTTGAGCTAAAAACTGCTAAACTAAGATTAAGCATAGAGATGCTTTGTCCCATTGTTTTAAATGGACCCCACCATCAAACTGAACATGTGGAGAAATTTTTTAGTGTGCCACTAAGTGTAATAATATAATTGGTTGGAATTTATTTTTTCAAATTTATAACCAATCGTATTATTACACTTAGTATAACATGAAGTGTTCTCGACACATGAAATTTTTTTCCAACATGTGGGGCCATGAGACTAATGAAGTTTGAAGCCCTCATGAGAAATGTCAGAAACTTAGAAGTGGGAGATGGGCAAAGGAACTGCAAGGAGAAGGAAAGGTCTTTTGTTTGAGTTCTCCTTTCTCCTTTATTGCTTTCCAATTCTTCTTTAATCAACTCCCTTTCTTTTCTTCCATTCTCCCCTCTTGTATCCTTCCACAAACCCTACCCCTACTCTTATGCCAAAGCTTGAAAAAGACTTTACAAAATCAAATATATTTAATTTTGAAATTTATATATATAATTTCCGTATACATATATTACCATCACACCAACAACAAAGTTACGTCACAATAATTTGGCCTATCACAACTAGATATTGATTTCGTTACAAGGCCTAAAACTAAGTGAGTCGAATTTAAAATGAGTGAAGACAAGTGCTAAGAAGCTACTTTAATTGAACTGGTTACATCTAGATGTTGAATTCATCATAAATACAAATAGAGCAAGTCAGTCGAACTTAAGACGAGTGAATATAGCTGCCAATAAACCAAGTGAGTTGAATCCACAACAAAGTTAATAATCAAGTGAGTTGAGCATGATATGAGTGGAAAGAACAACTAATAACCCAAATGAGTCGAAATAACAATAAATTAAACTGCTAACTAGATTATTCTTGTATCCAAAACAATCAAGTCTAAGACATCACCGACTATATTAATAGAACTACCATTAAACCAAGAACTACTTGGTTCAAAATCAAATTTTTATAACCCAAAACAGAATCCAGAAAATAATCACAACCCAATTACATACCATTAGTCAACATTCCAACAACTACCCATATATGAGTCCTCATGACTAATGACTCATGACCCAACCACTATACTAGTTCAAAATCGCCAAACTTGATCGGGACCACTTGTATAATTTCAGTCTATGCCAAAAACACAATCATGTACACCAAATGTCATAATACAAGTTGTTAAAAAAAAATTTCTTTTTAAGTATCCAACCGTTTCTATTATGACACTTGGTATACCGAAACTGTATTACCGACACACTGAAAAATATCTTTCATGCAGCAACCCCCATCCCCATGTAGTTGCCTAATGGTGCCTAAATAATACAGCCTCATTAACTTTGAGCACACGAAATAGCAATGGAAACAAAAGAAAATAGCAATGCAAACAAAAACAAAGAATAAAATGGCTGCAAAGAAAACAAGAACAGTCCCCGCACGTCCGTCGGCAATTGCGCGACGCATTCTCATTTTGTTTTCAAAAAGTAAAGAATAGAACTAGTCATCTATGGAACTTCAATTCACAACTAGAGAGAAATGTTCCTAAAAACGTAATGTAGATTAGTGTCGTTTCTTTTTCAAACTACATATTTACATTTAATAATGATGAAAGGTTTGTGGGAAACTACACAATGAGTTGGTCATAATATATGAACATGAAACTCGCCGTCAACTTAAATCAAATTTAAGACTTTTTCATCCCCAAGAAAGTGAAGAGCAATACCACTTATAAGTGCCATCTAAAAATGAAAGAAAACTATATGAATTCTTGTACTTAAGAGTCTTTGTGATTTCAAACTCTCATTTTCTTTTTAATATTAGATTAGTATTCTTAATATAGATTAGTATAGTATACAGTTTGTATTGAAAAAAAAAATCAAAAAGAAACTTAAGCTTTAGCACCACAAGAAGAAATTTTTCAGTATGTCAGGTACACGGTTCAATATATTAAGAACTCGTTTGGATGTGTTTTTACAACAATTGAAAGTGTTTTTTGTGAAAATATTTTTAGAACCAATTTTTAGTAAATATGCAAGTCAATCCTAGAAAAACAATTAAAGTGCTTCTAGGAAGAAGCACATAACAGGTGCTTCTTGCATAAAACAGTTCAAGTACTTTTAGAACACAAAATCATTTTCTCTAAAAACACTTTCAATTATTTTAAAAGTACATCCAAACGAACTCTAAACCTAATAATACAACTAGTTAAAAATTTAAAAAAAAAATTCAACCAATTGTATTATCGCCGTGTCCAGCACTAAAACGGGCTCAAATACCTTTCCGTTGATTTCGGTGTTTTTTAAATTCTGTTCTTTTCTGTTTGCATGAAGAGGACCGCGCATTAAAATCCTCTATCCTGCATCGGCCGCGATTACCGCAAAAAATAGAAAGTAAATTTTCAAAAAGCGAAGAAAAAAAGTTAGAGAGAGAGAGAGAAAGCGAGTGATGAAATGGATCGTTGAGATAATTACAAACAAACATTCCATCTTTGGATTGTTTGTATAAAAACCCAATTTCTGTTTCCTCCTCAATTCAAGCTCTGCATTTTTCCATTTTTTTTTATGTTTTGAGCTTACCAGCTGGTTCGTTGGTTGGTTGGTTGCTCTGGACTTCCGACCCCAGCTGAGCCGGTGGTTTCCCGATCCGGGTCGACCCAGAATTTCGGCGGGCGGGTTGTGCATGGTCATTGGGTCGGCGGCAGGGGATGGGTTGCGTGAGCTCGAAGCAAGCGGTGTCGGTGACGCCGGCGATCGACCACTCGGGCGCCTTCAGGGACAATGTGGGAAACTCGGGTCGGAGTCGGGTCGGGGTGGGGGAGGTGGAGAAGAAGAGTAAGAAGGGGGCTGAGTTGAGTGGGAGCGAGTTGGGTGAATCGGGAAGAGCGAGTTCAAATGGCGGCGGCGGGAATTGTCACAAGAGTAATAATAGTTATCCCGAGTCTCTGAGTTTTAGATTGAGCAATCTGCATAAGTATGTGGAGGGTGAGCATGTGGCGGCTGGTTGGCCCGCGTGGCTCAGCGCCGTCGCAGGCGAAGCCATTCAAGGGTGGGTCCCACTCCGTGCCGATGCATACGAGAAGTTAGAGAAAGTGAGTCTCTCTCTCTCTCTCTCCTTTTATTTGATTTTGTTTGCAAAGTTTGTGTCTTTTTGTGTGATGATACTGATTTGTTTGGTTTTTGTTTAAAAAGTTTTGGATTTTACAGAAATGTTGAACACAAACGTTTGCTTACACTTTTATAGAAAGTTGGCATTTTTGTATAGAAAGTTGGCATATTTTGTTTAGAGTAGTTTTTGAACCCGAGTTTCATCCTGTGTAAATTAGAGTAGTTTAGAATATCGACCGGTTAAAACGCTAGAAACTTTAAGCACTTGCTTGAAATCGACGGCGTGCATCAGGGTAAGCTTACAACAGCTTACCATTTTCAGATTGTTTGGTAAAATGTAAGGCCTTCGGATCCAAACTGGTGTTTCTGTGACTGCTTTTTCTGCTGTCTAAACTTTCGACATGATTAATTTTGCTGCCCGGAATATGCACATGATAAGTTTTCGATAGGATCATAATCTCATACTTTTGTATTCCTCCTTGCAAGTATTAGTTGATTGTGAATTGTTAAAACTCTGTTCTTATTCGATCGCAATTCCTTGAATAGATTGGACAGGGTACATATAGTAGTGTGTTCCGAGCACGCGACCTTGAAACTGGGAAGATAGTTGCTCTGAAGAAGGTGCGGTTTGACAATTTTGAGCCTGAGAGTGTCAGGTTTATGGCACGAGAAATCTTGATTCTTAGAAGGCTTGACCATCCAAACGTCATTAAACTGGAGGGCTTAATAACTTCCCGATTATCATGTAGCATATACCTTGTGTTTGAGTACATGGAACATGACATTACCGGACTCTTGTCTAACCCTGACATCAAGTTCAGTGAGGCACAGGTATGCTTGCCAATGCCCTTAAGAATAGCTGCTGTTATCATGCTAGTTTCATAGGCTTCATCTCTCGTGATGTACTACTTCACCCTTAGTCATCTGTTTATCCATCCACTTTCAAGCTGACATTGGCGATGTTGGTTTTGATTTTGTAGATTAAATGTTACATGAAGCAGTTGTTATCTGGACTTGAACATTGTCACTCGCGGGGTGTAATGCATCGGGACATAAAAGGATCAAACCTTCTGGTGAGCAACGAAGGGATTTTGAAGGTGGCTGATTTCGGATTGGCAAACTTCTGTAATTCTGGGAATAAGCAACCCCTTACGAGTCGTGTTGTCACTCTATGGTATCGTCCTCCTGAACTTTTGCTTGGATCGACTGATTATGGAGCTTCAATAGATCTATGGAGTGTCGGCTGTGCATTTGCAGAGCTACTGATGGGGAAACCTGTTCTTCAAGGGAGAACAGAGGTAATTAACAAACCATAATACATGAATTCCCGTTATCAATCTTGTTATAATAGTCTGGATGTCTTCCAACACGACAGTTTGAATGCGGAGTCCTCCCCGTTCTAATTATGCTTGCATAAATCAAGAAATTAAGTATCTGATTCTCTTAAGGCATGTGCTTACAAGAACAAACTGGTTGATTCTCTTAGGATGCGTTAGATTGTTTGTCATACTTTGCTTTGACTTCTCCAATTCAAGTTCTTATAAGCATTTTCCACAGGTTGAACAATTACACAAGATTTTCAAGCTTTGTGGCTCCCCGCCAGATGAATACTGGAAAAAGTCCAAACTTCCTCATGCAACTCTATTTAAGCCACAACAACCCTACGATAGTTCTCTGCGGGTGACCTTTAAAGATTTGCCTGCAGCCACGTTTAACCTACTAGAGACTCTCCTTTCTGTAGAACCACACAAGCGTGCGACTGCCTCCTCTGCTCTTGCATCCGAGGTAACTCGCCAAATAATGTAATATGTACCTTAAACATTGGTTCGCATCATGCAGATTTTCCTAATACAGTATTCTTCATTTACCACTTCAGTATTTCAAAATGAAGCCTCATGCATGTGATCCGTCAAGCTTGCCTATATACCCACCTAGCAAAGAGATTGATGCAAAGAACCGGGAGGAGGCAAAGAGGTGAGTGGTTCTCGAAAATTGAGTATAGTCCTCACCAAAATATGAAAATTGAAATTTAGTATATGGCCACTGAATTTTCAGGAAAAAAATTGGTGGGCGAGTTCGTGGATCTGAAACACGAAAGCCAACAAGGAAGTCACTTGGGTTTACTAAATTGGCACCAGCAGAGGTATCTCTCTCTCTCTCTCTCTCTCTCTCTCTCTCTCTCTTCCCTTCATGTATGTTTGTGAATCTGCGTGTTATAATGGTAACCACTAGGTTCTTATTGACACTCAGCTTGTCTTGCAGAACTTGGCAGTACAGTCTCGAGGTTCTTATAAAATTAATGGCACTAACGGACATATTCTTAAGGAAGATGATTCAGTTCTGGGTAGGGAGCTTCCAAAGCCGTCAGCTGGTAAAGTAGAAGACTCTTCGCATGTAAAGAATGCATCTCAAGGAGACATTCCCTTCTCCGGTCCATTAGAGGTTTCTACATCAAGTGGCTTTGCATGGGCAAAGAGACGAAAAGATGAGGCCAGAAGATCTCATACTCGGTCTTTTTCAAGAGGACACATTTTTAACACAATAGAATCTTCAATCACAGTGCATACAAGGAGTAACTTTGACTCCAAAAGGCATGAAAATGCGGAGCTTATGTATAAGGGGCGCAATGATTCAAGAGGGCATGATTCGTATGAGATTGCAAAGCTCGCGATGCTGAAACAATGGGGCAAGCTTGAAAATCCAGATTCCTTTGATGCTTGCGATGGGTACCACTCACAGGAATTATCGTTGGCACTTTATCAAAGGGAGGAAATGGCAGCTCACGGTGATATGGTAAGTTTGTAAATACAAAAATCAGATGCATCATTATTTGACTTTTGACGTAGAACTCCCAGTTTTCGCATTACCTGGAACACCACAAGGAATACTGTCTCATATATCTTGTAGCTTTTCTTTAGTTATTCGTTTGTTTGGTTGAGTTGAAAATACAAGTAAAAGGCAAACAAGTTTTCTTTTTTTATGATGTTATATATATTCACCTAACGTATTTAACCTCGTTAACAGGGGTTTCAACTTCAAGATCAAGAAGACAAGGTTGAATTTTCCGGACCCTTGTTGTCTCAACCATATAGAGTTGATGAATTTTTAGAAAGACATGAGCGCCACATCAGAAGAGCGACCCGGAACTCATGGTTCCATAGAGGTACAGGACTAATACTAATTTTTCCATATCTCTTCTGCAAGCGTTTTCCCCATACCTAGTGGGTTGGGGAGGGAGAACGATACATAAGTGTGTAGCTGACTAAATATTGTGATAATTGCAATGGCTGTCTTTAGCTAAATATTGTGACTTTTGAATTGCAGGTAAGAAGCAGGGGAAGTAATCATCTGATGGGGAGACTTTGAGTAAACCAGAAAAGGAAACAGGTCTCGACGAGAAACAGATTATACAAGAGTTCAGCCTGGTAGCTGGCATTTCCATCTAGGTGGCTTCATCCACTAGTTGAGGAATTGAAAATCTCCGCCACAAGCTCGGTGACAAAGCGAAGAACTACCCTTCCACTTTAGAATATCCGGGAGGGGAGGAAAGCACGAGAATGATTGGATCAGTTGTCTAGAGTAATGTTCTTTCTCTCTTGTTCGAAACTTTTTGTTTGTTGCCTGATTAGCTCCTGGTTTCCTATATTTGTCAAGTCCCATTGGGCAAATGTGTAGATTAGTAGCGACGGTTTCCGAGGAAAAGCCGTGTAAAGTCTCTTGTTTCGTAGCCTCGTAGGCTTAGGCATCAGTTTCTTGTTTGGTTCTTCCAAACTACTTAGTTTTCAGAAGAGTCTTGAAGTGAAAGAATAGCAAAAATGGAAGGAGGTTTACATATTAGACAAGCTCAGATTGTTGCACATATAGAACATTTTGAGGCCCAAAATCTGAGAGCTTAGGACAAACCTCAACTTCACATTCAGATTTAAGTCCAATCTAACTTCACATTATGTGAAGTTGAGAAATTAGAAAGTCATTCAATTGATGGAGACGTCGTGGTATGAGTATACTGCTACTGTAATGTCCCGTGTTAATAAAACAATAGCATGTAGAGAAAAACTTACACATGATGATGTATTCTCCACGAGACGTTATGGTGGCTTGTGTATTCGTGTCATGGCATGGAAGTGAGCCGTGAGAAGGGAGGAGAGAGACAATATCTAGGGAGTGCACTCAATTTCATGTAACTTTTAGCCTGTGATTGAGAGAAATTAGAAGAAATAAGGATGTCAAGGCGATAAGGGGTAGTATCCCAAACCAATTACGTGACATAGTGTAAAAAAGTTAAAACATTTATGACGACACATGATAAATTTGGAACACCTTTTGATATGTCACGTTGGCATCCCGGTCTTATGTAAGTCTCTATCGGATGTCTCAAAACCTTAGCCGCAACTACACCTTGTAAGCTTAGTGTTGGATTCTCATGTCAAAGAATCATATGGCTGGCTTTGCATCAGCATCAGCAACTAATTAGTTGGCCAGCTTTGCATCAATTGGATGAAAACAAATAAAAAACAACGTTAAGATGGAAATTAAAGGCATGGGTGGAGTGAAGGGCTCTCCAACCTCCATGATTGTAATGTAAAGGGGAACATGAAAAGGAACCAATGGCCCAAATCTGTCACTGCCACAGAACATGGGTCTATCTGCATGGTTATCCTCCACTCAAACTTGTTATATCATAATGCTATTATGACAGTATCTTAAGTCAATTACGTATTATTATGCATGTAACTTTTCTAAGTGACAGTGCATGATTCCCTTAAAATACTGCCACATTGATATTCACGTTACATTGATACCCAAAATCAATGACACATTGTTATATGTTTTAAATTTTACGTTGAGTGATTAACTTGGAATATTGTTACAATGACGTTCAGGTTGAATGAAAGTTCTCTTTTTATACAAATCTTAATGGTGAGCATCAAGGGTAGGGTCGATCGACCATCCACTCACACCCACATTTGGTGGCCAGCATTAGTTAGGATCACATTTCGCATGAGAAATTTCTACATTGGAATGTCACTATAACAATATTTTAAGTCAATTACGTATTATATTTTACATTTTAACTTCCTCACCTGACCATGTGTAATTGACTTAAGATACTATTACAACAACATTCTTATGCAGTGCTCTATGGTGCACATCAGGTGCGGGACTGAGTGAACAAGCGGCACTCACATCTGCTCTTGATGAACACCATAACGGAAAGGGATTCTTTACGGATCCCTTCAGCCTAATCATCCTCATCAAACAATATGGGCTCTTGAAATTTGATCCAACGGTTAAAATTATTATAACTTTTAAAGTGGGCTCGTGTTTTTACCCGTTTGATCAAATTTCAAAAGCTTTGATTGTTTAATTAGGAGAATTAGGTGGAAGAGATCCAGAAATGATCTTTTCCACACCATAACAATCCTCATTAGAGAATTTCGAAATATTGTTAACCACCTAATAACTAGCACTTGTCAGTACCATTCAAATTAATTAAAAAGGAGGTCCCACATTTTAATCAAAAGAGTTGTCTGAAGACTGAAGCAATTGGGGTCACTGTTACCATAATAATTACCTTGGTAAAACACATGATGGTGAAGCTAGGTGAAATTCAGTTTTCCACAATTTTCGGAAGGAATTTTTCAGTATGCTGAAAACATAGTCCAAATCAAGACAAAAAGGATATGAATTTTTGTAGTAAAGAACTTCTTAACGAGAGAAAGCTTCCTTGAAGTTATTGAGATTTTATTTTAAATATACAACCACTTATACTTTGACATTTAATGTATTAGACTGTGTATATAGTCCACTAAAAAATCTGTCCACATGTGGCAGGTGAGATCTCACTTTCATGATCATCTCACCAATTGATGGATTTGGATCATCTCCTGAGCTAATGGAGAGAATCCTCGTGACCAATTATCGTGGGCCGTTGGATTTTTATCCAACGGCTACAAACAGGAGATCCCTTTAAAGTTATAATGATTGTAGCCGTTAGATAAAAATCCAACGACCCATGATGATTGATCAGAAGGATCTTCTCCATTAGCTCAGGAGAGGATCCAAATCTCTAATCGGTATATATTCTCTCAGAATATGCTGGGATTGCACATGTCATGCATGGAGTGGCTGGAATCATATCGTGGGTCCCGCTTTAAGATGATAACAGTAATCGCACCGTTCATGTTGTTGACTTTGTGACGAACCACCTCATGGCATGCACGCCACGTGGATCTAGATCTCATTGACCTTGTGGTCCTATCTTCTTTCACCCCCAACATGTCTGCGATTTCAGAGATGACCATGTTTCTTTGGTTACAAGGATATTTAAAGAGATTAACAAAGTAATTAACAACTTAAGATCCTCATTGGTATTGTATGGTAATTAAAAGGGAGTCTTAATGAAACACTTATAATACTGTTCATTTTTAACGTTAAGAACATTTTGAGCTTAAAAAATGACTCTTGATATTATTCACTTACACTTTTATTTTATCATTTTGATTAAAACTAAAGTTTTTGAGAACTTTTTGTTAGTTGTCCTTAATTAAAACCAATCCAATAATGCATTTCATGCTATGAGAAATTTGCTTTTCTTCGCTTGTTGGCTTGCTTTTTTTATCTCATCAGTTGTATAAAACACGTATGATGAGTGACGGCTCCACTAACGTTCAAGTCCTGTTGCCAACAGTCATCGTCGACGCGTAATCTGTAAATTTTTACGTAAATTCACAACGGTAACAGCTGACAGTTAAGTGTCACGCGTAAGTCATTCCGACTCGAGATTGCAGATATTCCCCAATGCTAGTGGTGAGACTAACAGATCTCTCCTAAATTCTATTTTACCCAAAAAAATTAAAACCCACAAACCAAAATGGCGTGCGGGCTTCATCTTGTCCTTGGAGAAAAATTGCTTCATCCTGCACCTGTAAATTGGATTAGGCTACTTACCCGCTAGTCAATGATTTTAATTTATCTTAGTTGTTGTTGTCAATTTTAATTAAACATTTTTTTTTTTTTTTTTTTTTTTTTTGTAAATTACTCTTTTGAATATGACAAAGGTTGTTGCCACTTAGTATTACGGTCTCGTGGTATTCCTCTTCACTTGTAAGTGAAAGATCTTAGTTTGATTCTCATCAAATACGAGTTTGAACTATTGATAATCCATCGTGAGACTAAATCTACTCCTTCCTCTTAGTGTAGATATTATCGATTATTTATAAAAATATACATAAAACATAAAACAAAAAACAAAGGTTGCTTGCGCATCACCCTACATGAAATTGTCACCGTCCATTGCATGAATCGGATGAAAAGTAAGGTTGCTTGCGCATCACCCTACATGAAACTGTCACCGTCCATTGCATGAATCGGATGAAAAGTAAGTAAATGGGCGGCAGTGATTGGTGCCTTAAGAAACCTGATCTGCTGTACGAAGCAAAGCGACGGCCCAAAACCTTGACCCTGAAGACAAACCAAATTAGGCGGCCCATACTTTGACAACACGTGAGAGCAATCACGTGGTGGTTCCAGTTGCTTAACGACATCGCTCGGCGCTGAAAGGCTGTCGTGTTGCCGGTAACGAGCGAAAGACGTTCCGGGAAACGTACACACGCGACGACATGACGTTTTTTTGGGCACGTTATGCAATATGATTGGATAACTTCTTGGCCCCACTATCCTCAAAAGATGAACATTGGAACTTCAAATTTGAATTCTTGGATTGTAAATCAAAGCAAATCAAAATAAAGTGTCCTTTGATATTGCCAAAGATCGAGAATATTACTTAGGTACTCATTAACGAGTACTTATTTTATTATTTTGTCTGATTTAGAAATTTAAAAATCTCATGATAAATCGTCGTTGTTATTGTGCATTTTGAAGCAACATTATAGTTGAAATATATAAAAATAAAAGCTAGACAAAACTTAAATTACACGTCTATGACTCGTGCAACGATCAAAGTAAAAATATCTTGAGAATGGCCCTTTATAAATTGTTTTCAAATGAACTTGAGTTGCTACTATTCAGCACTTTTAAGTTTTTGACCATGCTAACCTTTTGTGATTAAAAGAAAATAAACTTGCTCAATGCGTATCAATCATGAAACGGAAAATATAGATGATGAGTTTAATATGTAGTAAACATGAATCATTTTTGTGTTGAAACCATAAGTTTAACTAAATATTAAGGGTAGTGCCATTCACACACATTTTTACTTCTCACACACTCGTCTCAATTCTCGCCCATCAGATCAAATGAATTAAAAAAAGATCAATTTCAAAAAAAAATAACCAAGGTGTGTGGGAGGTAAAATGAATGTGTGAATATCACTTCCCAATACGAACAATAAAGTTTGACGAGGAAAAAAAAAAAACTTCGTATTTTCACTATTTCCCTGTACGATTTTACTAGTGTATAAAATATCCACGAAAGTATTGATATTTTTCATGAAATATCTAAAAAACAAGGATTGATATGTTAAGGAGTGAAATGCAAACTTCATCCTATATTGACGATATATAAAAAAAATCAATGAATATCGATATTTTTCTAAAACCCACTTCAGATTTCGAATTTTTGATTTTTTTTTTTTTTTTTAAAGAGTTTTTCTCTAATTTTGACTAAATCTGAATGAGTTGATATACCCACTCTATTACAACTTTCCATAACTTTCGTCAAAGACAAGCGATATTGATATAACCATTAATATTTTTATAAATTGGTATATCGGTAATTTTTTTTTTTAACAAACAATATTATCTATCGTAACGGGAGAGGGATGGACCTAGTAGCAATAATGTGGTTCAAGTGAGAATTGAATCTAAGACATCTCACTTACAAATGAAGAGGAATACAACTAGACCGAAGTACTAAGTGGCTTGTATATCGATAATTTCACTGTATTAATATTTTCACCTACATCGATATTTTTACACTAAGGAGAGAATTCGACTAAACCACATAATGGGCAACCTAATTTGATATCGAATTCGTCATTTACGATATTCAAATATAAGATCTCTCACTTTTAAACGAAGATGAATATCACATATCGTAGTACAGAGTAACACTTAACATCGATATTTCAAATGTTTTACCTGAATACCAAAGAAACAAACGTAATCTTTTTCCTTTTCAGGCAGTTACAGTGGTCTTAATTAACTCATAACGAATTTAATTCATTGATCGATTAATTTACCAGTATCGTATTTGCCACGTCGGACAGCTGCCCGCCCGAACCCTCCCCGCGCTGCCCAACCGAAAAACAGAAAAACATAAAAAGAAGAGAATTAAATTTTTTTTTTTAAAAAAAAAGAAGAAAAAAAGGAAGAGTTGCAGAAGACGCACAGGTGCCCCAAGCAGACGAGGAGAAGAAGACGGGTCGGGTCGGGTCCTAATAGCTGCTTTCTCCTTCTCAGTCCACTTCTCTTCTTTCTCTCTCTGTCTCTCCTCTCTTCTTTCTCTCTCTAGAATTCCCTCGATTCCAATTCCCTTTGCTTTTCCATTCCCAAAACCCCCACTCCCTCACTTCGTCTCGGGAATTCAATTCCCCCTTTTGATTTTTCTCAATTGGCGATTTCTTTCGGGATTTTCGTTTCGCCGGAAGGGTTCGGCTCGTTCGGGTCGGGTTTTGGACCGTTGAAGAATCGGATAAGGGCGGGATCTGGCTGCGTATATTGTTAGGGATCGGAATTGTGATCTAATTGGAGCTGGTTTGGATTACCGTTTTGGATCCGATCGGGGGAGAAACAGCGCCATCTGATGGCGCTGTTCAGACGATTCTTTTACCGGAAGCCGCCGGACCGCCTTCTTGAGATCTCCGAGCGGGTGTACGGTACGTTGCCATTTCCTGTTTCTTGAGAATTTGAGAAATTCTGGTTTTTTGGTGCTCAATTGTTGAGGTTTGGTCCGTGTTTGGGCCAATGCGGTTGAATTTGATGGAAATTCAGAGTCTTTTTTTGGGGTTCTTGCTGAAATGCGATTGAATTTGCTTCGAAATCGATTGAATTTTGTTTTTTTAAGTGCATTTTGTATGTTTGGGGATTCTTTTAGCTCAAAATTGTGAACCTTTTAGTGTAATGTGGATTGATTTTAACTTGTTTTGGCTCCGAATTATGCAGTTTTTGACTGCTGCTTCTCGACCGATGTGTTGGAAGAAGATGAGTACAAAGTGTACTTGGGTGGCATTGTAGCACAGCTGCAAGACTACTTCCCGGATGCTTCTTTCATGGTGTTTAACTTCAGAGAAGGGGATAGGCGGAGCCAAATTTCCGATGTGCTTTCGCAGTATGACATGACAGTAATGGATTACCCTCGGCAATATGAGGGATGTCCTTTGTTGCCACTAGAGATGATTCATCACTTCCTTCGTTCGAGTGAAAGTTGGTTGTCATTGGAGGGGCAACAGAATGTGTTACTGATGCACTGTGAAAGAGGAGGATGGCCTGTTCTCGCATTTATGCTTGCGGGTCTTCTGTTGTACCGTAAACAATACAATGGAGAGCAGAAGACCCTTGAAATGGTTTACAAGCAGGCTCCTAGGGAACTTCTCCATCTTTTGTCTCCTTTAAACCCACAGCCTTCGCAGATGAGATATCTTCAGTACATTTCGCGACGAAATTTGGGTTCTGAATGGCCTCCATCAGATACACCTCTACTTTTGGATTGTCTGATACTTCGAAACCTTCCGCTTTTTGATGATGGAAAAGGTTGTAGGCCTTTCATACGTGTTTTTGGTCAAGACCCTTCTACACCAGCTAACAGGATCTCTAAGCTTCTCTTTTCAACTTTAAGGAATGAAAAGAATACCCACCTCTATGTACAGGTAATGTCTACTTCATGCAACGAAATCTGATTGTATAAGATGAAATATTTTTTAAGCATTCTTATGAATCCTAATCACAGGCAGAGTGTGTGCTGGTGAAAATTGATATTCGTTGCCGTATTCGAGGGGATGTGGTTCTTGAATGCATCCACCTGGATGAAGATTTTGTTCACGAGGAGATGATGTTCAGGGTTATGTTCCACACAGCATTTGTACGGTCAAATATATTGATGCTCGGTCGTGATGATATTGATATTCTTTGGGATGCCAAGGATCAATTTCCAAAGGACTTTAGAGCAGAGGTATGTTATTGTTTATTATGTGGATGTGCTTTTCTGAAGCTATAGGAGTTGAATGCATACTCAAATCTGTATCAGGTACTTTTTCTGGACGCTGATGCTGTTGTGCCTAATATCACCACAGTTGTGGCAAGTGAAGAAAACGAGACAGGGAGTGCTTCACCCGAGGAATTTTTTGAGGTGGAAGAGATATTTAGCAATGCATTGGATTCACAGGAAGTGAAGGCGGATTTCGACACTTCCATGGTTCACGACAATGCTCGTAAACATATAGATCAGCAAACAGTCTGGAAGGAGGATTTAGATCGTCATGCTTTTGTAGACTGTACATCAGACGATGGAAAGCACAAAAAGGACAGAATGGCAAATTCTAATAATGATGCGGTGAAGGACATTGCTGTTGATGATGTGAAGTACAAGCTCGATGAGGTGGATTCCAATGTCGATGCTGTGAAAGACATTGCTGTGGATGATGGAGATATGAAGTCAAATTCCATCCCAGTTGCTGCTGATGTGCGGAGTCATACTGGAACTAAGGAAGTGGTAGAAGAGGTGCGCCGGAAATTGGAAGAGATGGAAGATATAACTAATGAAGAAGACGTGGCTACACAGAAGAGATTAGAGACCAAGGTTGCACAATCAAAACTGAGTGCTGAGGTCTCTAGACCAAAAGCTGAGAAATTGCAGCCACCTGCCTATAAGAGACAGCCTTCATTTAACGCAAAAGTAGGTGTAGAAACTACGGCAGCAAAACAGAAGTCTAAACAACAAGAAACTCAGGGCACTTCGGCAAAAATAGCAAAACCAAATGCGGTGTCTAGGTGGATTCCGCCTAACAAGGGCTCTTATACTAATTCAATGCACGTTTCCTATCCACCATCAAGATATAATAGTGCACCAGCTGGTTTTGCCGGTGCTGCTTCTTCAAAAGATACAAATGCAAATGCTAAACTGAAAGCTTCTTCTGGAACTGCGGTTTCAAAGGATATGGAAACTGAACTGAAACATGGTAAAGTGGACCCTTTGAAGCATTCAAAGTCTGCACCAGAGACACTAACAGAGACATCCACATCCTGCCTGCCATCGACGCTACCACCAATCCAAGAGACAGAGACTTCCTCTATTACAACGGAACATACTGATGCACAAGTAGTTTCCCCTTCACCTCCACCTCCTCCTCCACCTCCCCCTCCACCACCTATGTCTCAAATATCTTCATTGTACAGTTCTCCAAAGCTTTTGTCACCAGCTATACCATTGTCGCAAGTAGCTGCAACAGCACCTCCTTCCCCTCCTCCTCCACCTCCCCCTCCACCACCTATGTCTCAAATATCTTCATTGTACAGTTCTCCAAAGCTTTTGTCACCAGCTATACCATTGTCGCAAGTAGCTGCAACAGCACCTCCTTCTCCTCCTCCACCATCGCTGCCGCCTCCTCTGCTAAGTTCTAATTCTATCTTCTCAAAGCCCTCTTCAGTCTCGTGCTTGTTTCCGTCTTCTACCCCGCCACCACCTCCACCTCCACCTCCTTATGCCTCGTCATCTATCACGCAGAATACTGGTATAGCTTTGGTCCCTGCACCTCTCCCTTTCCCTCCACCTCCGCTGCAATCTGGTGGGCAGAATAGTGGCACCATAATGCCTCCACAGCCTTCTTCGTCTCTTTGGAAGGTTGGGTACTCTTCAGCTGTTCATGTTATTGTGGCAGGTTCTCAAAATTCACCACCGCCGCCTCCCCCTCCACCTCCTCTTGCTGCAAGTGTATCCAAACCTCTTGGAGTTGGAGTACCTACTCCACCGCCACCACCTACTAGTGGAACTCCACCTCCTCCTCCACCGCCGCCTCCTTTGCCGGGAGTTTCATCTACTCCACAACCCCCACCATCGCCTCCGCCTCCAATGCAAGGAACTCCACATCCACCGCCACCACCTCCTTTAGTTGGAGCTCCACCACCACCCCCACCTTCTTTACGTGGAGCTCCACCGCCACCCCCACCCCCACCTTCTTTACGTGGAGCTCCACCGCCACCCCCACCCCCACCCCCACCTCCAATGCAAGGGGCTCCACCTCCACCACCTTTACATGGAACTCCACCTCCACCACCCCCACCACCATTTTCAGTACATGGAGCACCTACTCCACCACCACCACCACCACCACCTCCAATGCACGGAGCTCCACCTCCACCACCACCTCCAATGCGTGGGCCCCCACCTCCACCGCCACCTCCAATGCACGGTGCCCCCCCTTCGCCGCCACCTCCAATGCAAGGTGCCCCTCCTCCGCCGCCACCTCCAATGTATGGGGCCCCACCCCCACCGCCCCCTCCAATGCGTGGGGGGCCACCTCCACCACCTTCAGGACGTGGTGCACCACCTCCGCCACCCCCTCCAATGCGTGGGGGAGCACCTCCACCCCCTCCACCACCTTCAGGGCATGGTGCGCCACCTCCTCCTCCACCTCCCGGTGGAGGCCGCGCTCCCTCACTACCTGGAGCACCACCTCCGCCACCACCTCCAGGAGGTCGTGGTCCAGGGCCTCCTGCTCCACCTGGACTTCCTGGTGGTGCTCCTCCACCACCACCCTCATTAGGTGGCAGAGGACCTGCTGCTGGCAGAGGGCGCGGACGTGGGATACCTGCCACAGCGCCTCGACGCTCCTCCTTGAAACCACTACATTGGAACAAGGTGACAAGGGCGTTGCAAGGAAGCCTGTGGGAGGAACTGCAAAGACATGGAGAGACTCAAAAGTATTCCATCTTATTTTTCAACTTATTATTGCCTTGGTAGCTGTTTTCTGCCATAAAGTTTTTTTTGTTGATTTGATGGATCTTACATGTTCAACATACACAAATGTATTTTATTTCAGGATTGTTCATTTCAAATCACTAATGTGCTTCTCTTTTAATCTAGTGCGCCGGAATTTGATGTGTCAGAGATAGAGAGCCTTTTCTCTGCTACAGTTCCAAAATCTGCAAACTCAGGAGATAAAGGAGGGCGCCGCAAGCCTGCTGGTTCTAAACCTGACAAAGTTCAACTGGTAATTTTATGCAATTGGTTATTTTACTGTAAAATCATATCTTCTAAAAGTTATGCTTGTTTTTTTTTTTGAACAAAAAAGTTATGCTTGTTAAAGGTGATTCTTCTTTTATATTTTGTGGGTCTTCCTACCAGTTATGGGATTTGATTCTTCTGTTAGAATGTAACTATCTGTCAACCATCTCTCCATGTCTCTAGAGTTTTTGTTGTAGAGTTGCACTTGTATTGATAAGTTGGGTGTGTACAATGCTAGCTATATTTGTTAACGCGGAGATTTATTTTGATGAATATTTTTTTTCTCTTTTTTCCATATAATGTCAGATGCTATTACTTCTCTACTTTCTTACTGTGATTCTCTTTGTACCACATTGTAGGTTGACCTGAGAAGGGCATACAACACAGAAATTATGCTCACAAAAGTTAAGATGCCACTTCCTGATATGATGGTAAGCTGATACAGTTGAATTTCTTCTTACTCATGATTTGTGAATATAGATAATTTGCATATCTGATGAGTCTTCTCAATTGGCTTTTTACTTCCCGAATAATTTAAAGCTGATGTTGTAAATGAACGCTTTTCATACTTAGCTAATTATGTATTTATATGCACGTTCTCAGGCTGCTGTTTTAAAAATGGATGACTCAGTATTAGATGTTGATCAGGTGGAAAATTTAATTAAATTTTGTCCTACTAAAGAGGAGATGGAACTTCTCAAGGTGTAGCCTTTATTCTTTATTTTATTTTTACTATTTTGATGGTTATTTTACTCTTTTTACAACCTGACATGGCTCCATCTCCTCATTAATCATATGTTTTCTTGCTTGTGATTTCTGTTGTTTAGAACTACACTGGTGACAAGGAGGCCCTGGGGAGGTGTGAACAGGTATGACCAGATCAAATATATTCTTGAAGTATTTGTCGTAGTAGATTAATTATTATAAGAGCATCTCCAATGGTAGGATTAATATTTGCATCTCTCCGTTGGAAAGTTGACTGGCCAACCAAAATTGTATATTACACATTTCAAGGGATTTTGCATCTCCCATTATGATTTAAATTCTATACTGTGCCCCTTATCCTGTGCTCTATGAAGTTATAATATTAAGGAGACACACATCAGTCCATTCACTACTTATTCAGTTTAATTTTCAAATATTCCTCGAATATTACTACACGTATAAATGTGGCGGCAATGGAAGACTTGAAGATGGGCTGATAATCGGTAAACATCAATAAAGGATTTCCCTAGACTGTTGAAAAATGAAAGATTCTAAGGGATATATTTCGCTTGTCCTTGTTTAAGATGCTAAGTTGCACTGCTACTGGTTTAATTGGTGTGTTAAATAGACATAGGAAAAACCCAGACATTTAGTGAGGCACCATAGCATGTTATATGAAGTGATGTTAATTCAGGCAGAGTCATTTCAGATTAGTTTTTGTGATTGTAGTTTTATTTAGTTTTTGAATATTGTTTTCCTAAAAATGTTTTATGTTGCTCAGAAAATTTTAGTAATAGCAATTATGTTTTGAGTGCATATTGGATTGTAATGTCCCTTAAATACTTTTACAGCTATAACTAATTGTCAGATATATAAAGTCTCTGTATATTTGTAATGTTTCAGTTTTTTTTGGAGTTGATGAAAGTGCCTCGGGTGGAGTCAAAGATGAGAGTATTTTCTTTCAAGATTCAGTTCAACACTCAGGTTTGGTAGTACCTGCTGTTTTGTTCCCAATGCAGTAAATGGGACCTAATGTATGTCTCTTTGCATCATTATCTAATTATTGACCCTTTTTGCAGGTCTCAGAATTTAAAAGAAGTTTGAACACAGTAAACTCTGCATGTGAGGAGGTATGTCAGCACTACCAATGAATTGCTTCCTGCAGTATATAGATACCAATTTTAACTTAGCTACTCTATTACTGATAAATTAGGTTCGGAACTCTTCTAAGCTGAAGGAAATTATGAAGAAGATTCTTTTTTTGGGGAACACTTTGAACCAAGGAACTGCAAGGGGTAAGTTATATTGGAATTTGTTATGTTTGTTGACTTAGAGCATGTAGGGAGGTTCTTTTACATGTTGCTTAAAGTAAGCACTTTAGATAATCTATTACTGTGGACTGGGAGGTGGGAAGTATTAAGATAAATTATATGAATGCAAAGCAACTGCTTCATATCTCCAAATGGCTTTCAATTTGATTTAACCATAGGCAAGTCCTTTGGGAACATTGTGCTTCTGTTTTAAAATTATGATCACTGTTGGGTTCAAAGAGGAGGATTTAATTAATTTTTATGACACTTTATTCTGAGGCATGTGCTTCACATGCTGGAGCTTAGAATTGATCCTGGACTTTTTATCTGGGCCTTGGAATTTATCCAGGAGAATCAAGAGTTACTGGCAGAAGCAACCTTTATATTTGAAACCAGCTATTTCGTGTTCCATTTTAAATTCCTATCTGCGCTTGGCTTTATTTTAGGTAGCCTCCAAAATAATATGAATTGTCAAATGTTTTTGTACAGGTGCTGCTGTTGGGTTCAAGTTGGACAGTCTACTGAAGCTCTATGATACGCGTGCCTCTACTAGTAAGATGACACTCATGCATTATCTTTGTAAGGTACGTTTCTTAAATATTTTTGGTTATGTAATGAATAACCAAAGCGGGGAATAAGAGATCTAGAACTAACAAATAAGAGATGACTGCTTGCAAAATTTATGTTTTTGTTGCCAAATGTTTTGAGATACAAGATTACCATCATATTTTGAGTCTCACGTTTGGCTTTCTTGTGTCTTAGATCCTTGCTTCTAAATCGCCAGGACTTCTTGATTTTTACCAGGACCTTGTCAGCCTGGAGCCTGCAACAAAGGTGAACATTTGTTTCCTTGGTGCTAATTCTAAGCATTGTAGTTAGATTTTGAATGTGACAAATCTTGTTTCCATGCAGATACAATTGAAGTCTTTAGCTGAAGAAATGCAAGCTTTAATCAAGGGGTTAGAAAAGCTCAAGCAGGAGCTGACGGCATCAGAAAATGATGGCCCTGTGTCAGAAGTTTTCCGTAAGGTGTGTAGTCTTTCTCTTTTAAAATTTATAAAGCTTTGTTGAAAGGCCCTTCATTTCTTCTTCTGTTTTTTTCCCGTTCCCTAACAATTTCTTTGTACTTGTTTTTGTTGTTGAATTTCTAGACATTGAAAGAGTTCATTACTGTTGCTGAGACCGAAGTGGCATCTGTGACGAACCTATATTCTGTGGTGGTAATTTGCTAATTATCGTCTCCTAGTCGCCTGTCTTATTTTGTATTTTGTGATCTCAATTTTGTCATTTGCTTTTGGTATACAGGGTAGAAATGCAGATGCTCTTGCATTATATTTTGGTGAGGATCCCGCTCGCTGTCCATTTGAGCAAGGTTAGTTGCGGACGGGGTTGGGGGGTTTTTGAATTTTTTAGATTTTGAATTTTGTAAGAGATTTTTGGGACCTTTATGCTATTTTAGGGGCTGAGGGCTTCTCTGGATGCCTACAAATGCACTCTTTTCATTCAGTAATAATGGAGCTGACTTAAGCCGTATTAAAACCCCTGTTTTGATGACTGCAGTTACTGTGACTCTCTTGAACTTTGTTAAGTTGTTTCGGAAAGCACACGAAGAGAATATCAAACAGGCTGAATTGGAGAAGAAGAAAGCAGAAAAGGAAGCTGAAATGGAAAAGGCCCAGGGCATTAACCTCACAAAAAAAGCACCAAAATAGGTGAAGGATATAGTCATTCTATCGCTACATGGGAAATCGAGCTCTCCTGCCCTACAGAAGAGTGTTCAGTCGCAGTGTTGCTAACTAGTGGCAAGGAGCATATGCTTTTAGGATCCTGGTCGGAATCCCCTTCTCAGAACTAGTGCAAAGGAAAGCCCCTTCGAGATATTATTTGGATGAGGGCGGAAAGGGCAACTGTTCGAGTCATGCAGCATTTGAAGTTTTGAACCATGCATGAATCTTAACTATACATGCTTGACAAGATGTTCAGTCAGACGATCACGGCCAACTGATCAGTCATGTGGGATATCATACAAAGAGACCGGACCTTGGCTCTCACTCTACGGTTGTGTACCATTCATTTAGAAGCAAGGGTTCCCGAGGCAATCTAGCTTCGTCTGCCACCATGATGTCGGATCTGGCCCCCTCTGGCATCCTTGGGAGAGCAAAGTTCAGTCTCGGTTCACAATCAGGTTTCAGCTTTCATCATTCGTTTGGCAGAAAATGTACAGCGCCAAGGAAGATGCCGTTGGGATCTGTAAATCCCACATCCCTGCTGTGCCGTGGAACTCCTGTAAATCACACTAACCCTCTCTCCGTAGTTTAGAATTCAATTCATTTTCCTGTAACATATAATTTAGTTCCTCGTTACATTGAAATTTTGGATAGGAGACCCCTTCGTGATAGGCGTTGTATAGGGAATCAGGTTCAGAAAGAAACTAGACGACGACAGGGAATTTTTTTAATTTTTAGGGTAATTGTAAAATAAATACCGAGCGCAGTGGCGTTTTAGGATTCATACAGCCGACCCCATTTAATGGGATAAGGCTTTGTTCTTGTTGTAATTGTAAAATAAATATAGGTTGGTTTAAGAAACTGACTGTTTCTTCCTTATGGTTGTTAGTCAAAAAGTATATACTTAAATTCATGAAATTTCAGAATTTCCATATTTTTAGAGAAATTTATGATTTGCATCCTCTATCAATTTCTCAAAGAGTTTTAACTATCAAACGAATTGATGGCTGAACTTTCCTGTTTAGGAATACAAATTTAAAAGATCAGAAGAAAACAAAAATACGATTATAATAATACGACAAATCATAGTACAAACATCTCCATCATAAGTAACAAAGTTAGATTTACTATGCCACGTGGGAAAAAACACGCATTAAACACGCATGAATTTAAAAAATCGTATGGTGTGGTGAAAATTTCACGAAAATATATTTTAGAATGATTTTTGCAGTTTTTAGCAAAATCAATCAAAGACCGTGAGCTACATTTTTTTTTTTGGGTGAAAAATGTGATGACTGAGTTTCAAAATACCTTTTGCGTACACAATAGAACATCTTTGAAATTTCATGCATGAGTTTATAAACCGGTGCAAGATGTAAATTTTATATTGCTCTATCACTCTGGTACAATTCATTGGAATTTGACCAATATTATCCCTCTAGTGCTATTAACCAACACAAAACTAAGTTCAATAACAAAAATGGAAAAAGAAACAAAGAGACCAAAATGTATCATCCACACTGCTAAAGTTGCCAAATTTCAGTGGTTGGGAACGAATTACAGGTCTATATTTCACACAACATGTTCTGGGTTTGATATCTAATGCTTGTGAATCACACGATGGTGGTAAAAGAGAGGTTGAAATGCCTCCGTGAGTCTTGCCGGCCCCTGAAAAAATTAACTGTCGTGACAAAACCACTAGGTAGTCCCTTTTTTAAAAAAATAAAAATAAAATTGGAACAAAGCAACTAAATAAAATTGGAATATAATAATCATAAGCAAAGTTGTGTATACAATTCTCCTACTTTAGAGAGGATGCTTTTTTTTATGTCAAGAAAGTTGCCTGGTGTGAATGATTACCAAGCAAAAGAAATCATGCTTTGAATTGAAGATAGAAACTAATTTTTTTTTGGCAATGCCTTTTTTATATTCTTTCCTCTAAAAAAAAAAAAAAGAAAAAAGAATGTACTAAAACTGGATTCCTTCGAACTTTGACGGGTTCCCTTCAATTTCTTGAACCATAATTCATGGAAGCACTTTGACAGCCTTCAAATCTCCACAACTTTCTTCGTCGTCTCTGTATTCGATCCCTCGAGAACTCGGCTTGCAGCTTTGCAAGAACAAAAAGCTCACAGTTGTATCAAGAACAACAAGAATTGAGTACAAATAAGCAATGAAAACACCCTCCATGGCCATGGAAGATCCGAGCTGTCCTGTGAAATGGTAGGCTCGTACGAGGCGGTATTGGAACAATGCTTCAACTGCAGCTAGGGTTAAGCTGACAGGCAGAGCAAGAGAGAGAGCAGTTGAAGTTCTTCCTCTGATCAAAAGACAAGCCTTGAGAATTGCTAAGTAGCCGCCACTCTTTTGTGTACCTGATAGAACCAATGCAAGATTGCATATTATGAGTGCATTGGCAAGAACAATGGAGTACAAAACTGCCCCAGATGCCGATAAGAAGAGGAGGGTGTTAGGAGAAGAGAACCCGGATCCTTCGAGGACATTGAAGGCGATGAACAAGATAGAAAAGACGCTTGCATTGGCAGAGAGGATCAAAAACGAGTTGTAAACATGGGTGTGGAGGAGTGGGGTGTAGAGAGAAATTGTGGAAAGAAATGATGGGTGCGACGAGGAATTCGGTTTCTGGTGGCGGCTGAGAGTTTGGATTACAAAAGATTTGGTTATGAGGAGGAAGGTGAGGGAGAATGGGAATGTGAAGACTGAGGAGGTGATGGTTTGGGAGAGCTTGTGGTTGAGAATGGTGAAGAATTCCAAGGAGGGAGGGAAGCCGGCCGCGTCGAAAAGACTGTGGAGGCGGTTATAGACGGTGGCCAAGAGGGCGGAGCTTGAAGGAAGAAGTGCTTGAGAGATGAGAACTGAGGCTGAGAAGGGTAAGGCAATGAGTGCAGCAGTTGAGGTGAAGTATTGGTAGTTTAGAAGAAATATGTGGACTGATCTTCTGAGAATTTTGCCTGCTGTTTCCATTGCAAGAACTTTTTGAGCCTTCTTGCACTCCAAGGGAGAGGAAATTGATATGAAATTGGGTGTGGCAATCACAAATTTGGGTGTGTATTAGAAGAGAAAGGTTTGGTTCTCCTCTCTTCCAAATTTTTTTAATGGTGTGTCTCTCTCTCTCTTAATTGGTGGGTTAGGGGAGAGGATTAGGAGGTTGGTGTTTTGGATTGAAGGACTGGCCAACAACTGAAAACTAACAAATTTGGAGAGTTGGAGTTGTTTGGGAAAGCTATTGGTTTCATCAAAGAAATTGATTTGGACTCTTCTGGGGTTAGTTGTTTTTGGTGACTTTGTAATCTCCAAATTCCCAACAACGTAGTTGGCCAAGGGAGGCTGTTGTGGCAATTTCTTGAGTAAAAAATATGAGTAGAAACAAACCTTTGTTTTGGATTGCTTCAATTACACTTTTTATATTTTGCTTATTTTTTTTGTTTCATGATGATATCATTATTTTTTTTTCTTTGCTTATTAAAGCTATAGCCTCATTACAACTAAGACAATCAACCATTGACAAAGCATTATCCCACTAAGTATGATCGGTTGTATGAATCCTAGGACACCACTGTGCTGGATTTTGTGCTAAGTCTTTTGTTAACTCCAAGTACTCCATGTATTTTCTTAAAGTCCCTTTTCAAGTATTTTTATGTCTTCATTTACCTTTTTTTATTCTGAGTTTCTGTCTCATAAATCCTCATTACTACTCATTGGAAATTTTAATTTTCTTGTGGGGTTTCAACCCTTGACTTAACTTCAAAGAATTGTTGTTGATTTGGATATAAATCATGGGAAAATGTCAATCCCACATTTTTTTTTTTGGAAAAACGTTTATTAATTAGTTTGAAAAAATCATTCTGCATTCTTTCCAAATACTAATAACGATTCCGCATTCTTTATAGTCATCTCAAACCTCATGCATTATTTTGTAAAAAATTAAAGGCATAGAACTCGTTTGGATATGCTTTTAAAATGACTGAAAACGCTTTTAGTGAAAATGTTTTTCAAACCAATCCTTAATAAAAATTCGAGTTGATATTGACAAAGCATTTGAAGTGTTTTTGAGACTCAAAATCAATTTCATCAAAAACTTACTTTCGATAATTTTAAAAACACTTTCAAACAAATTCATAATTATTGCTTATTGGTTCCTGATCCTCAATTGATTAGCAATATATCTGATAATTAGCAAACTCTATTACTCTGAGATAAATAAATAATAGTTATCCCATTCACGCCACGTGTAAAGTAGGCCCTTGATTCCTTATTTGTAATGTTTCACGTGCGAAGAGTATAATTCTTAGCTTGCAAGATAATTATAATAATAGCTACTTACGAAATAAAAGGGAAAAAGAAATGTCGAAAATATTAAATATAAATTGGTTTAGATTCAGATGTGATACCTTCTTATTCTATCAACAATTATTTATGACAGGTCATAATAATAGAAACATAATCCTCACCGTCGATATTCGTATTAATTAAATCCAATGATGATGGTTGCCTCCACTTCTTGAATTTCTGAACAATTGCACATCATCCATTTTGTCATGATTAATTGTAATTTTCTTCTGCACGTTTACATCCACATTAGTATAATAAAATTTTCCCTAATATGTCCTAAATATTATTGATAATAAATATTATTGATATTATCGATAACTCAACTTCTCAATTGTATATATAAAATATGTTATGAATATATTGTTGATAAACTTGACTTGACTTTCCGAAATAAATATTGTTAATCTTAATGGAGATTTGTGTCAGTGTGAGAGCAAGTGGTTTTTAAAAATTGATTGATTTAAGATTTAATTAATTAAATGAACATAGCAATTGTACACATGCATGGTTATTAAAATTTTGAAAATAAAGTTTACAAAAGGAGAAAAAACATAAATAGTTAGTCGCTAAACTTTTTGGTGACGACCTTCAAACGATTTTCGGTCATTGGAGAGGTTGTTCATATATTTAGCGACTATTTTTGAGTAACTATTTCGTTGCTAAAAACTTTTTTTATTTGGGAGAAAAAGGTAAAAGGGAGAGGGAGGTGAAAGAAAAATGGGGCCAACTGATATTGTTACATGGCTATGAGGGAAATAAAAAAAAAAATTTATTTTGAGTGTAATTTACTATGTTGCTCATAACTTTTATTTTAATTATTTATCTTTAGTTTTGTTGATAGGAGTAGAATGGGTTTTTCACCCGCTTTTGATAACTCAGCAGAATTTCACTAATATTATATGTACTTAATCAGCATAATTTCACTAATATTATATGTACTTTGATTGACTCAAGCACAATTTTACTAAAGTTTTGTGGAGATAATACTAGTGAAATTCTGCTTAAGTTAATCAATATGATTAGGTATATTTAGGTGAGGAACCCTTATCCGATGGTCCAATAAATACAAAGATGACGAGGGATTATCATCTTCATGATGCGGTTTGTGCGCAGACTTTGGACTTGGTTGGGTGCTTACTTGCCTGCTCGCTCGATAAGCTTAGAGAGTTCTGTGTATGGCAATATTCCAAATTTTAATTTAGTTTCGATGAAATATAAAAGGTGGTCGTTGCTTAGGTGAAGTGTCTGTGTTTATGGTGACCTTCCAACTGAAAAATATTTAAACCAAAATATGCTGTATACTTAAAAGGACTATTAGTAACAAATTTAATTAATTTAATAACTCGTTTAGTAAGTGTTTTTAAACGAAAGAAAACACTTTTAGAGAAAATACTTTTGAAATCATGTCCTTGGTAAAAATGCAAGTTAATCATGGAAAATACGAAAACTAGTAATATTTCAATTCTTATACCATTATATTTGGGTTTATCTTTAGAATTATATAGGATTTGGGTTTATCTTCATAATTATATAAGGCTTGCAGAAGCACTTTAAGTGCTATTGAA